TGTTTTCCACCCATGTCGATGGACGATTTCGCAGTTGCAACTAATGAGTCTCTTTTGTACCGAACTCGACGAAGTGTAATTCCGTGTAAAGACAAAAAAGCCTCAAGACAAATTGGAACATCATATGTAATTCCATTTTCAACTAATCGGACACCATAACTAAATGAAGCATTATTAAGCCTTGACTCTGGTTAATTTTTTCGAGGGCATCTACGCATGACAGGAAGAACAGTGATAAGACCACTAAGATAAGCGTTTTTGCATTAGTGTTTCCTAGTTCATTAAATTCACGAAGAAGTCTACAGCGTTCAGGTTCAGGAATAATAGTAAAACAGCGAAAACGTTCACAAAAACAATCAGATCCAAGTTCGTGGGTAGTGGCGCGCAACGTTTTCATTACTTCTCTTTGTCATCCTGTTTAGATCTGGACTGACGCCGTTTTTCCATACACGCGCACGGACTCATACCATTCTTCCCCGGCACAGGGAATCTTATAGCTGTTGTTTTGTGAACCTAGGCTCTTTTTACAATTTAAGAAGCTCATTACAATATAGCATTAGGAAAATGCCATCAAAATAAAGTGAAAGCTCAATTTAGCCAAATAATGGACTATGGCGTGTCCTATGAAATGAGTGCCCACAACCCTAGGTCATCTCATTCTCAAGGGTTAGGGTTTCCAGACCCAAAAGGGCGTATAGCCATTTCTAGCGCCTCCCCGACGACCGGCAGTGCATCAGCTCCGTGCAGGTTACAATTCACACACGCCGAGTATTCGAAAGTGCATTCCAAACCAGAAATGGAACCAATAGGTATCTTAACGTCCTTTTTGCCCACTGTTAGGGACCTTACATCACCAGGAGGGTTGTGTGACAATTCCCCCTTATAACTACTCATCAATCGTTCTAAGGGCACTACGCGCCTTACCAGCCGGTGCCTAGATACGGTACTTTGGCGTGTTGTTTCCCCCTGTAGATCTCCGGATGTATTAATACTCCCTCAGGACGCATTCTTGACGACCTGAGTATCATCTAGAGCTAGCACAACGCTTAAAATTCGATTTGAATCATTTCATTGATTATAATATACTATAATACGGAAAACGAAAATTATCAATTACTGTCTATTTCTCTGTGTAACACGTGGCAACAAAAACGACTGTGGAATGTCATACAAACATCAGGTTTGCTTGAGGATTCAGGTCTCTATATCTGAGACAAAATAATATTTACAACAGGGCAGTATCACAATTTAGAATACCGGAACTACCTAAATCTAAATTTTAAATTTGTCGAGAAAATGTAAATACGAGGGGGGGTCAGAAAGTACGTAATTCACGGCACCGGGAAAAAACTTCATTACAATACATTGACATTGCCAAACCTTAGCTATTCCAGAAAAACAGAATTTCCTAGGTAGGCCTTGAGATTATCAGACTTCATTTGTTTCATATACCAGACCAGACCTCAAATTGAACATGCAACAGAGTTTGGTAGACTGGGAAGAAGAGAAGAAAATCGAGCAGTGAACAATGTACAGAGAAGAGTCAGTTTTTTGAACATCTTATATGACTTACTTCTGCTTATTTATGATTATCACTCTTATTAGCATCAACAAAATTTTCATGTGGTGTTCAGGGTTTACCATACCTTTTTATTTCCTTATAGTTTTCACCTAACAACAAATTCATGTCCAACTAAAGAAATACACCACTGAATTTAGGACTGACAAGTCCATTTAAATATAGCCTCCATATGAAAAATTAAGTTGGTGATGGAAGTCGAAAGACAAAATGTCGAATTAAAAATATGATTACGCCATGTTGTAGAGAAGAATAAGTTACAATGACAACATGCAATTTATTTTTAAATCCCACGTCAAATAAAGTCATGGAAAAATAAAAGTGATTTTGCGATAAATGCGAAACAAATGACAATCTGATAATTTCATGACCTACCTAGGAAATTCTGCTTTATTAAAATAACTAAGTTTTGCAATGTCAGTGTATGACGTATTATACATTTTTGGAATCAGAATTAAAAGATCTATTCATTTGTGGAAAAATCCAATATGGCGTCTATGAGAAAAAATAAAGTTAATGTTAGAGGACAAGAGAGGAAACGTTGTATTAAAATAAATTGTATGCCATCTTATAGAGGAGAAGAAGCGGCAATGTTGATGTGCAAGTTATTTTGAAATCCCACTACAAAGTCAGGAAAAGATTAAAATGATTTTGGGAAAATTCGGTTTCAGGTATTAGTTTGAATTTCGAAACTATCTATGAGGCATTTTGTTGATTACCTAAATACGCAACTTCGCCCCCCGTTGAGTGACTTTGTATCTCTTACGTTTCTGAGATCCCAATGGTGAGGGTCGAATTTGAAGCACCCTGTATATTTGTCCACTTTTCTGATGAAGCGATTTTGTATCCTCTTGACACGTCATCCCAAGCTATTTGTACTTGATTCCAAACAGCTTCTGGTGTTTGTGGAGAATGAGGTAAAGGGCAATAGCCGAAAGGCCTGTAGATGTAGGAGGTCAAGGAAAAGGGCTGATTAGACTGTTATATTTCCAAAGCCACAAAAATCCTCTCCCAACCGCTCCCAACAGCAAGATGCAACTAATCCAGTTGCTTTCAACTAAACAAAGGAACTTCAACCTAAACAAAGGAGTGTCAAATTAAATAATGGGACTGCAAAAGGTTTCTGCTGGCTAGAACCAAACATCAAGTGAGCTCAAATTCTGAAACGAACAGAGCCCATCAAGCGGGATATAGCAGCGGGATAATTCCAGTACAACGGTGTTGTGTATAATCAACGGAACGAGGGCTCATGACAAATTGATTCTAATGGCATACCTAAAAACCTTGCGCATTATTGCCGTTATTAACTGGTAGTTAACGAGCGGCGCTGGAGGATTACGTTTGGAGGTAGAGAGGGGGAGATTGAGTCTGTTATATACTCAACGTCGTAAGGAACGATACCAGCTGAAAGACCGGCGAGGCTCACATCATTGCTCTTGATATCACAAATGCGAACTGCTGTGGCATGCTGCACTCTCAAATAAGTCATATGGGCGTAAAGAAAAATTTTGCAGATAGGTGGGTGAATTCCTCCCCTGCCATAGGATATCCCTCGCAGTTCACGGGTTCTCCTCTTCATCACATACATACTGTCTATTTAGAGGTTCCGCAGGGATCGGTTTTGGTTCCATCGCTGTGTCTGGTACAGGTTAATGTCAAATCCGCTCCACATGGGTGCGTTTGTAAATCACTTAGCAATGTAATACCGTACACAGTAATGGAATGTAGATTGGAAAATTAAAGTTTACTCTGGAATACTGTGAAACTTTATTTTTAGAACGCCTAAATTATTAAAGAGTCATGTGTTGACAGCCGACTAATTTCTAACCACGTTTTCTGGGACCATTGCAGTTATTATAAGAGACCCTATTGATATGAGATAGCATTTATCATGAAAAATATATATTCTGTCAATTTTGAGAAGTTTTTGATAACAGAATAAAATAAACAAACAATGAACAATGAGAATGACAAGTGACATAACTATTATTCCCAAGGTTTTGAGCTCGAGAAGAAAAGCACACTTTTGACGTTCCAGAAGTATTACTTGGTTCTAAAGGGTGGACCAAGTTGGTAGTATGTCGACAGTTGGTATCACTTACATGCTCAACATATTGACAGATATATTGTGTCAAACTTCCGCTGTGAGTTATGGATCTTGAACAAAGGTGGGAAATATTGACAAACTATTTTTAATGTGAGTGCTGTGTTGCAGAAACTTGGCCAAAATTGAGAAGACTATTTGATCAGAATGAAGCTCCGTCCATGCCTGGCATACGAAAATTCGTGAATTAGGATCATGACACTGGATTGCTTGTGGATAACAGAAGGTATGAGCATATTCGACCCATACGTACAGCCAAAAACATTGCTGCTGTTGCCCAGAGTGTGCGTGAAAACGCAAGAATGTCAACTCGTCACAGAGCACAACAAGTGTTCATTAATCGCACTTCTGTGCGGAGAATATTGCATAACGACGTGGGATTATTCCCTTACAAGGTGCAACTCGTGCAAGAGTTGAAACAAAATGACCATCCGCTTCGATATCGTTTCTCTGTGTGGGCTCTAAATCAATTGGAAAGGGACGTCAATTTTGGTCACCAAATCACCTTTTCGGACGAAGCCCATTTCCATCTGGGAGGTTACGTTCACAAGAAGAACTGGATTTGGGGTTCTGTCATGTCGTCATAGGAAAAATAATGCATACAAAAAGAGCAACTGTTTGGTGTGGCTTGGGGAGTGGTGGCATTGTTGGTCCCTACTTTTTTCAAGATGAAGATGGTAACAGCGTGACGGTAAACGGGGAAAGCTATAGAGACATGTTGAGGAGTTTTTTTGCACAATCTCTGGGTCAAGCAGGATGGTATTACATGCCACACCAGACGTGAAACAACCCGTCTTTTACACGCTTAGTTCGATCACCGCGTTATCAGTCGTTTTGGAGACATTCATTGGCCAGCCCACATCTGTGATTTGACGCCCATGGATTACATTATATGGGGTACTGTTAAGGCCCGGCGCATATTGAACCCATGCCACGCGTAGCACACGCACCGCCCACGCGTGGGTGATTTTGTAAAACACTGTTGTAGACGAACTGACGCATATTGCACCCATCCCACGCCTAGCACAGTCCCAGCCTATTCCCACGTGGTTTGATTTGTGCGAGCAACACAGTTTCGTGGAATCGTGGGTCACTTTGTTTACGTTTTTCAATTCACAATGGAGAAATTGATCGAACTCGTTCGGGAGAATCGTGTGTTGTAAGACACTTCACATGAGGATTATATGAGAACAAAATTAAAAAATGAGTTGTGGGAGAAGATAGCCAGAGATTTAAATTATACAAGTGGTGAATAATTTTGAAATATGTATATTTTGGGTTATAAGAACGAACACGTGAGTATGCACTTCCTCGAGTACTCATCGTAAGTACATATTTATTTTTTTAAATAATAATAATAATTAATAATACTTTTCATTTTTGTATGTATATATCCTAAAATTGTCAACACTTCATCATTTTCTTCCTGGCCAGTGGCAATCGAGAGAATCTTAGTTCTCAAATAATTATGAAGCACAATTGTGGCTAGCACTATTTTATCGATGGTATCCAATTTACATTCAAATGGTCTCTTGTACACCCGGAATCTAGCTGCTAATATACCGAAGGCACTTTCTACTGTTTGTCTAGCCCGAGATAGTCTATAATTAAAAACCTTGTTTTGATAACTACCAGCAACTCTCGCTTTAGGATATGGACGCATTAAATTTCTCATTAGCGGGAACGCTTCGTCTCCAACAAATACATATGGAGTTGGTGTATTTTGTCCAGGTAAAGGCTTTGGTTCTGGCAAATCCAGTGAACCGTTGTATAACATTTTTCCTAAAGGAGAATTGGCAAAAATATTTCCGTCACTAAACCGACCCATAGAACCTACATTCACAGAAGTAAAACGATAATTTGCATCGACAGTCGCCATTAAAACAACAGAAAAATATTGTTTGTAGTTGAAGAAAGAAGAGCCACTCAGAAGTGGTTTTCGAATGGCGACATGCTTCCCATCGACAGCTCCTAAACAGTTATAAAACTGTCATTTTCTTTCATACTCTAATGCAATGTTCTTCCAAATTTCCACCGTTGGTTCGGGCATATAAATGGGCTGTAAACGTCGCCATATCGCTTCACAGACTTGACAAACAATGTTCGATACGGTTCTCTGTCCCATTCTATAGCTCAGTCCTATAGTTTTATACATGTCACCAGTGGCCAAATACCTGAAAAAAAATCTACTTTAAGGCTGAAAAATGAAGAAAGATCAGATGCCATTTTTATTGTTTATCAATTTATTGTTTATTCTGTTACAGGCAAGGATGCTAAAGAACAGTGGCGGAAGCTAAGAGAGTGTCATCGTGAAGCTATCTGAAGGCAACAAAAGAAAAGTGGACAACAAACAACCACTACGAAACCATGGACCTATCAAAAACAAATGGAGTTTTTAAAACCATACATGAAAAACAGACTCACTGCTGGATGCCCCAGCACCTCAGCTCCTGATGACAGCCAGGTAGAAGAAGAAGATGTACTCTCTGCTGATCCACCAAGTGTTCAATCAAATTTTGAAACAGATCAATCCATGGATACACCCACTTCAAAAAAAGCGAAAAAATCTGGTGATCCTCTATTGAGAAAATACATCGAAGATGGTGAGAAAAGAGCTAAGAGTCGGGAAGAATTACGTCAAAAACTAATAGCTCAATCTCAGCAAGAAGCAGTGTTACAAAATGATGCTCTACATCTTTTTTTTATGTCAATGTACAATGTAACAAAAAATCTTCCTACCAAATTTCAAAGGCAAGTCAGAAGAAAAGTTTTTGATGTCGTCTCACAAGCAGAAGATGATGCTGAGCAAGAGATAGAGAATCAGAGAATTCATTCATCAACCTCCAGTACTAGTGGACTATCTGTGGTGACACAACAATACCCTGAATTCTTTACTCTACATCAGAATCCATCATTGATTCGTCCTGTAGAAGCAAATGAAGAGGATCTAGAAACAAACATTGGGGAAGAAGAAGATAATTTACCAAGAGCATTCCTTGCTTTGTAAATGCATAATTCATGTCTTGATAACATAAAATATTTTCTGAATAAAATTACCTTAGACATACGGTTACTTTCTCTTCACTTCCAATAGGTTTTTGTGCATTGCACTCTTTACCCGTAATATCGTTCTTTATCAATTCATGGATTTCGTTGAACTGTGTTCTGTTCACTCTAAATGTCTCTTTGAATATGCTGGCTGGAACTTCTCTAGATAAGTTGAACTCTCCATGACTTTGTCTTTTTCGCAGATACGCATTTTTCTCGCTTTTTGTTCTTCTTCGATTAAATAGATACATTAAAATAGATCTTTCCTCGTCTTCCGACTCAGACTCTAGATCGAGGAGCTGACAGATATTCGCTGCCATCGTGGAAGTGGACTGGACATGGGATGGGTTCAATATGCGCTTCCGAACGCGAAACATGGGCTAGGCTGGGTCTGTACGTAACGTGGGCTGTGCGTGTGCTACGCGTGGCATGGGTTCAATATGCGCCGGGCCTAAGGACCGCCAGGCCAGCCGCGGCAGCCATTAACTGAAATTGTTTTTCATAAATAATGGGAAGGTGTATTCTTTTGAATAAAGCATTGAGTGTTACATATTATTGAAAAGTATAGTTCTAAAACCAATTTAAAAAAGAAACCAACGGATGGCCCACCCTTTATTTTCGAACGCATGTAACAGGTACGTCAAACAATTATTACAATCGCTGAAATTGTCTTGTGGATGACAGAAATTTGCATGTAGCCAAGACGATCTTTGCGGACGAGCTGGAGAGAACATTATAGCGATTTTTTCTCTAACACAAGACCTGGAGTATGTCACATCCTGCTTACTCATCAGTCACAACAGCTGCTGGAAAGAAGTTTGTTGGGTTGTATGTTATAGCTAATAAATACTTTACTCCACATAACACCGCCACTATGTTTAAGGTACAGATAAAGCGCAGCATCGCATATTGCTCACATGTTTGGAGTGCTGCTCTTCCGACCACACTATTCATTCTCGACGCTGTTCATTGGAGGGCCGTGCGAGTGATCGACGATGAGCGTTTGGAGATCTGGATCTCTTCTACCGTTACGCCAACGGACTTTGCTCCTCACAACTCTCCTCCATTATCCCATCGTGCAGCTTGCTCCACCGACTCGATAGGCCTCTACCTCCACTCTAACTCTGTCGAACTCTGTGTATCCAGAATTGACCAGTACGTCACCGCTCCATTGTTCCTAGATTATCGAGACTATGGAACAAAGTGTGGCTTTTCTCACTTATGCTAACCTGAACCAATCCATAAATCGGATTAAGGAGGTGTTATAAAATTCCGCATAGCAGTCGCGGTGACTCGGTGTTTAGATTTCTGCTCAAGCGATTGTATCAGCATAAAAACAACTCGTGGTCGAAACAATCTGGTACAGTTTAATGCGTGCACCCAAGCGCACATCGGCATAGTTCTTACGTAAAAACGTATACGTTATAATGTAAAAAAGGCAACTTGCTGACTAGTTAGTACGCAAAGAGTCCATTTACCCTTTGCTCGATATGAGCGCTGTGAGCGTCATCAAAAGCGCCATCTGTGGAGGAATAACTCAAAGATACGCGCAATGACCAGCTGCAAGTCAGCTTCCCAGCATGCTTGATTGGTTGCAAAATGCTGAGATAGTACAGAGTATACCTCTGAGCAGATGTGACATTTGATATGTGAGAAAATTACTACTGAATGTGCTGTTCATGAAGTATAACTATAAATTGTATTAAGAGACAGGTTATCTATGTGGTCCTTTCTGAAGAGAGGTTATTATATGAGTTATAAATTACCATTCTTCACAGTTTGTGTGTAATAAAGCAACATCACAAGAAATAGGGAATGACGCATCACACACAAAACATTTTCACAGTGCCTCACATCTAGGCGCTGATTTGTATCTTCTATCTGACATCGCAAAATAAATTTCTATAAAATTTAAATGACTGGAAAATAATGTAAAATGCCATAATTTTTTCAGGCTTCATAAATAATCCTGTCTGTGGCATATTTTCTCATATGTTGGTTGTAATATACTACACCAACCAGAGATTTTCTTTTCTCATCTCTCTTATTTTTTAAGTTCAGCTAATTTGCATACCTATGCAATTTCCAGAATTAATCAGAAAAAGTGGATGCGCAACTAATTTCTAGCTTTGCATACATTTCAAATAAACGTATTTAAGACAAGAAACCAACAGCGAGTTCTAAGATGACATCTTGTATAAAACCTAAATAATGTCACAAAAAATCTATGCAAATGTAAGAAAACGAAATAATGTCAATTTCTTTAAGCTACGTAATACGCCCTCCGGTTCCTATGGATGGTCAAGTTCTACCAAGAAGCGACTTATTTGGGAGTTCATATCACCAAGAACTGGATTTAGCACGAATATGTCCTGTCACTCTTGGCAATTGCTGGATATCTGGGGTATTTGCTTAGCGCTAGGAATTATTTGTCTCCTAACATTGAGAGAGATGTTTCTCTTCTAGCGATATGCTAACGGACTTCTCTGAACAGTATTTCCGGATCCCACCAAGCGCTAGGTCTGCCAGAACCCGCTCATTTAAACCCTCTCGAACTCCGTACATCAAGAACTAGCTGATACGACAAGTCAAAACGTACCCAAGGTCTTGCGTCCTCAACTTTGCTGAAAACCAGTGTATGCAAGAAACAAGAGAAACAGAAACGAAGACTTAGGGATCAGGAGTAGCTAACAACGGTAATTGGTACACGGTAATTGCTACACAATCTCCTACGATTATTGCTAAGTACAGACGAATAATAACAGATAAATAAGCGTAAATCGAACGACATCGACCGCAAGCATAAGCAATAATCCCTGTTAAGACCTATAGATAAAGGGATGATATTGGCACTGAGGACGCCGCAGGCACGCCGAAGTCATGTACGTGTAGCTTCCACGCACTAAGCTGCCTCGTACGGGCCCTATCTTGAGAGGGCTTTCGTGGTCGTTATTCAGTGGTGTTTCATAAAATGCTGTGACCTGCAGTAAGTGTATGTATCATATCTCTGCACAATCAGAATCGTGTTATAAAGACAGTCAGATAAGTGATAACCCCTAATAAAATGGCGTCAAGTAGGTTGACTCTGCTCTTCCCACGCAAAATGTTATATACAGGGTGACTTTGAAGTTGAGTCATTAATTTTCAGATAATGATTGTAGAAGGAAGATAAACCAAAATATGTGTGTAAAAATTAAAAAAAAATTAAAAAAAATGTTACCTTGTTTTATAAAATATCCTCCCGACAAGTATTTCAGTGCGGACCTGTATTTGATCGTGCGGTCTTGGAGCACATTACCCTCCCGTGTGAGGACTTAAGTCACCTGATTCACGAGCCCTTTGTATTACATTAACAAAGGCACTAGGGGTTGGTTGCACTCGATTGGGAAACCGATCCGCATAAATCCGTGTTGCCGTAGCAGCATTTTGTAAAATCAGAATCATGTCCACAAGTTCAGCATTTTCGTAAACATGTGCCATTTTTTATTTCGTTTGAGCCACGCAGAAACACCACTCACGCGTTACCGACTGACACATCGAATGAATACAACTGAATAAAATAAATGAATAAGACATCGTGGTAAGCGTTTCAAATTCTTTCGCTTTTTTGTTTCCGATTATATCCGTTGTTGCCAAACACGAGCACATATTATTATTGAGACAGGGCGGTACTCAAACTTCTAAAGGGCTATAACTTTGTTACTTTAATTTTACCACAAAAATGTTAAAGGAAAAAAACATTTCTTTTGATCAGATCTACTCACTGTTAAAATAAATGACTCAACTTCGGGGTGGCGCATCAAAATGCTCAGACCAGTCGATTTTGTTTTCGAGGGGGACACAAGTTTGACAAAAGATCACGTTAACACGTGCAGCCCCCTGGGCGGGTTGACACCAACCCTAAAATCTTAAATGGAAAGGGGGGTCGAGTGATACCTTATTTTAAAGGTCTTTCAATTCCCTTTATAATGATGTAAAATACATGAGCTTCTGTTCAGTAGTTTTGAAGATTTATTGATTTAAAGCTTAAAGTAGACTTTAATAGGTACTCAGATTAGTTTGTACTCAGAAGAAATTTGACTAAAAGAATTTAGTTAGTAAATGCTTGTCTTCACTACGCCCATGGTTTGTTTATCATTTTGTTGTTGAAAATAGTGATTGGAGCGTTTTTTTTGTGGCAAAAAGTTATTTCTTGAAGAAAGATAAGGAAATATCTCGTACTGATTTTAAATAGGAATTTAGTACATAGTTTGCGATTGATTTGACCAAACTTTTTTGCTAAAAAAACTTGTAACGCTTTATTACATAAATTAACCATGGTATATTCCATAGCAGAAAGAGTTGAAATCAACGAAATATTTTTCGGAAATAATCAGTGCGCTAATAGAACAGCAGAAATATTTAATGAGCAACATGAGAACAGTAACGTGCATCGAAAATATGTTCTAGAACTTGTAGCAAAACTTCGGGAAACTGGGTCAGTCGCCAATAAAAAACGCAACATTGAAAATCCCATAAGGAATGAAGCAATAGACGTGGGGCTTTAGGGCAAGTTTATGTAGATCCTACATTAAGTACCCGCAAATTGAACACTGTGTGTGTTGTTATTCGACATACTGTCCAACGGATTCTAAAGGCCCATAGTTTTCATCCGTATAAAATTCACCTGGTACAAGAACTTAATCAAGACGACTTTGATCGGCGATTACAATTTTGTGAAGATATGAGTGAACGAATTATAAACGATGAACATTTTCTATTCAACACTTGCTTTTCCGACGAATGTTCCTTTTTCGTAAATGGCGTAGTAAATCATCATAACAGCCGATATTGGTCCGATTCTAATCCCAGAATTTATCATGAGGTTCATACACAGCAGCCACAAAAATTAAATGTTTGGGCTGGTATTTTTGGCGATCATTTAGTTGGTCCTTTTTTCTTACCTGGAAATTTTACCGGTGAAATATATTTGAAATTACTGGAAGACGCCATAGATCCTGCATTAACAGCCATAATTGAAAATCAGAATGATCGGCGGTACATTGTGATTACTTTGATGTTCCAACAGGATGGTGCCCCACCACATTACGCATTACGTGTTCGACAATATTTAAATCAGACGTTTCCAGATCGATGGATTGGTAGAAGGCCTCTAAGATCGCCAGATTTATCACCTTTGGATTTCTTTATGTGGGGTCATTCAATAAGCAAAATCTATGCTAGTCAGCCAACATCATTAGAAGACCTGCGACAAAGAATTGTGGATGAGTGCCTTTAAATTACCCCTCAAATATTGCAAAATGTGCGGCAACGTTTTGAGCAAAATCTGTATTATAGCATGGAGAGTCATGGTGGCCATTTTCAACATTTACTTATCTAAC